CAAAAAAAAAACACAAAACACACAAAAACAAACAAAACACAAAACAAACAAAACAAAACACAAAACACACAAAACAAAACACGAAAAACACAAAACAAAACACAAAACAAACAAAACAAAACACAAAACAAAACAAAACACACAAAACAAAACATAACGAAACACACAAAACACACAAAACAAAACATAACAAAACACACAAAACAAAACAAAATACAACACACAAAACATAAAACACACAAAACATAAAACAAAATGCAACACAACGCAACGCAACACAACAAAGCAAAGCTGTAAGTTGTAATTAAAGGGATACTCAACTCAAAAATGAAAATTCTGTCAGTATTTACTCACCTTCTTCACAACAGAAAATATTCTGAAGAACACTGGGGGGATTAATTAATTAATTATTTTTTCTTTTTTTATGTTCCACAGAAGAATGAAAGTCATATAGTTATGCGTGTTGGTGGAGTAAATGATGACAGAATTTTCATTTTTCATTCAATTCTTCTTTAAGAGGAATATCAAGTCAGTGTCATTATGTTTTGTGCAAATATGCCTTCTTTCTATGCAGACGAGGCCTATTGTATAGTGTGACTATAATCAGCTCTGTAATTTATTTTAAAAGAAAGGTTTGTTTATTTTCTATTGATTACAGTAGCAGTTATTCATCACATGATGGGGAAGAGTGCTTTTACCGCTGATCATCCAGATGTGCGATGTTAGTTAAACACACTTATGGCATTTTAAAGTGATGCTGTACAATCGCTGTAAAGTACCACACATCACAGTGCTCTGCTGCATCCTGGCCTTCAGAACTGACCTGTAAGATGAGGAATTCAGTGTTCGGCAGAGATTGTTTTTGTGTGTGTGTTTGCTGCGTCACCTGATTTGCATAATTCCTTTAGTAAATCAAGTGAAAACACAATGCTATCAGTGGCTGAATTCATTCTTGGTGAATTCCTCCCGTGTTTTAATGTGATTTCCTCCCTCCGAACAGAAGCCCGGCAGGATATATGATAAGACGGACCCTGAATTGAACACT